ATAATTTTTACAATTAACCTCCCTGTGGTTCGACCCCGGTCTTGCCGGGTTATTTATTACTTCGACACTCCTGCACTTGGGAGAAGACATCAATCTTTTCGTCATGTCAAGCAACTATGTTGTCACCAGGTTCATGTGTAGTTCCTACCATTTAGTGATTCTCCTATATTGAGAAGTTTTGTTTTGAAACTTTTTGTTTATCTATATTTTTAATTTATTGATTCATATTATTTATCTCTCTCATTTTATTTAGATAACTCATTGATTGTAATATTGTTAACTTATTTTATTATATTTTAATATAATTTAATTTATTGACTGGAATTGTCAATATATAATTAGTTAAAAAATATTACTTATAATTTTATGGTTTTATGTTTCAAGTTTATATTATGTTTTTCGTGTAATAGCAAAAAAATATTTTTAACAATCTTGATCTCAATAGTTACAAAAATTTAAAAAAAAATTATATATATATTTTTATATATTTTACAATAGTTAGAAATATTAAAAAGAGAAAGAGAAAGTCATTTAAACAAACAAAATTATACCATTTCTATTCTTGCCTATATTTTTATTTTCTTACATTCTCCATATAATTTTAATTCTAAAATAATAAATTAAATTAAAATTTATAATATTAATAAATTGGATCTTAGTATTTTTTTTAAGGAACATTTAGCTATTGTTTTATCTTATATTTGACATCATTAAGTTATTTATTTGTTTTGAGAAACTCTTCCTATTAAAGAAAACCTATGTCAAAAGATAGCATTTTTTTTTGTGTCTATATTTTTTATATTTTCCTCTCTTTAATATTTTGATATTTTTATTAAAAATATGTTACAATTCACATTACACATTACATAAATAGGTATCAAACTAAATATGTAAAATATTTGAAGAGGTTGGAAAAATCATGAGTTTTAAAGGGTCAAATTGTATGCTTCTTTTTGGAATTTGGGTTTTTATTTAAGCTCTGTTTATTTGCAGGAAAGTTATTTTTTTTTTAGAAAGTAAATTTTGGAGAAAGTGAATTCCTAAAAGTGAATTATTTTTCGATATTTGGTAGTATTATTGATTGAAAACTTGTTATTCTCATAAACTAATTTTTAATTTTTTTAAATAAATAATATATAAAAAAATAAATGAAAATACAAATGAATGAATAAAAAATAATTTGGGAATTGAGTTAAGATAATAAGAATGAAATTATAAATTTGAGAGTCAATTTAGTTAAAAATTAAAAGAATTAATAAGTTTATGGACTTAATTAAATTTTAATTTATTTAATTAATGCAATCAAGGGGTTAATTAAAAAAATACCAAAGTTTAGGGCTGATTTGAGTAAAAAATACAAGAAATTAAAGTCCAAGAACCAAAATGCATATGTAATGATACCATAGAGGGGTTAATTGATTTTTCCAGGGGTAATTTTGAAATGCTTAAAAGTTGAAGACTTTTAATTAAACTTTGATTTATTTAGTTAATGCAATCAAGGGTTTAATTGAAGAAATACCAAAGTTTGGGGCTGATTTGAATAAAAAATGCAAGAAATTAAAGTTCAAGAACCAAAGTGCATAGGTAGTAATACCATAGGGGGGTTAATTGATTTTTCCAGTGGTAATTTTGAAAGGCTTAAAAGTTGAAGACTTTTAATTAAACTTTGATTTATTTAATTAATGCAATCAAGAGCTTAATTGAAGAAATACCAAAATTTGGGGCTGATTTGAGTTGAAAATGCAAGAAATTAAAGTTCAAGGACCAAAGTTCCTAGGTAGTGATACCAATGGGGGTTAATTGATTTTTCTAGGGGTAATTTTGAAAGAATTAAAAGTTGAAGAGCCAATGAAGCTTAATTGATTAAATTGGAAACCAAGGACTGTTTGGTAAATGGCTCTGAAATACAGGGGTTCAATTGCAATTGATCCAGGGTAAAATTAAAAAAAAAAGATTTCTGTGAGGACCCAATTGCTAAATGTCAAACGTTTAGGGGCAAATTGGAAATCTGCATTTCACGTGAAAACGGCGCCGTTTCAAAACAAACCATTCAACTCCTTCGTCCCACCGATTCAGTGGAAACTACAGCAGATCGTGGGTCGCGTCTCAGCTGCCCACGATCCCTCTGGCCTACAAGAAAAAGGCAACAAGCAGGAGGGGGAAGAGAGAACGAGCAGGGGGAACGAAGCAAACACAGAGAGGACAGAACACAGGGGAACAGAAAGAACAGGAAGGCAGAGAGAGAGAAAGGGAAAGAAGAAAGATACAAACAAAGAACGAATACAGAGAAAGTGAACGAAAACAGAGATAGATATGGAAGGGAAAAAAGACCAGAGAAGAAGATCAAGAACAGAGAGATAAAGAGAACCCAGGAGAACATAAAATAAACGAAGAAAGATTTCTGGGCTTTCTTCCGGGACTCCAGCAAAGGAATGTCTGTTGTCTCCTAAACAACAGATCACCTAACCACCCAAAAACAAAGGAAACAGAGACGGACACAAACAGAGACAGAGAGAATAAGAAAAGCAAAAAGAAACCAAGCAAAGAAAAGCAAGACCAGAAGAGAAGCACAAAAAAAAAAAGGCAGAGGAGAAGAAAGTAGCTTTGGCTAGCCAGAACACCTTCGCCACCATCTCGTCCCCAAGCGTTCCAGCACCAGGTAAGCTGCGTTTTCCCTCCCCTTACATTTTAATTACCTTGTTGCTGTTCACGCACGCCGGTAGATAAAAAAAGAAACCGGGTTACTGGCGTGGGCCAGTAACCGGCTAGCCTGCTGGATCCAGCCCATATGAGTCTTGCCACCCATATAATCTAAATATTCATCAAAATCTATTGTATCAGGACCCTTGTAATACCTAGTAGTGCCGTAAAATACAATAAATAGTCCCCTCAAGCTGATTGAGAAAACGAACTTGTAGGTGATTGAGAAAATTGAAGAGAGATATCCAATAATAATAATAATAATAACCATAAACTTACATCCAATTTTACTATAAGTAACCGATTGAAGCAACATTTTAGTCCTAACTTCGTTAAGTTAAATACCAACCTATTACACACTATATATAAGATATTTATTTATGTTAAAAAACTATCTTAAGTTAAAAATTTAAATTGTTAGATGAAGTTCTAAGATATGATTTATATTATTCTATAACACACCTTCTCAAGTGAAAAAATTTTAGACTTAAAACTTGTAAAATCCATATTATTATGTGCCTAATTTTTATAAAAAAAAATGAAGATAATGAAATTCTCATGATCATTTGATGATCAAGCATTACTAGAAAATTGACGAAAACCAACAAAATTACCGATGAAATTTTTTTTGTTGGTAATTCTTACAGACAAAAATAATTCTGTCTCAAAATATGTCGGTATATACTGAGGACATAACTCTGTTAGCGATATAGTCAGTATATATCAATGGCATATTTCCTTTGGTATATACCGACCGGATCGCTGACGGCCTATACAATTTATTTGGAAAGATGCAACGACGTAGTGACGTGGAGTTTTTTCAGATGATTTTACCGATGGAATTATCTAGGGATTCAAACCGAGATAGCCGTACAATGACGTGCACTATCACCGACAGAATCACCGATGGAATCATCGACGAAATGTATCCATCAGTAAAAGCCATTATATACGCACCCCTTTGCTGACACTCACTTCCTCTGTTTCTCATTCTTCTTCTTTTCCATCCCACCTTTCCCCTCTCAAACTGCAGCCAACCACCCATCCCAACTCTCCACTATTCTCAACACAAGCACTCAAGTTTTTTATACTTTGTATATGGTCACAATATCCGTTTTTTATGGATTTTATCATTTTTTGTAAGTAAATCTATCCTTTTTAGTTTTAACATTTAAATGTGAATTTTATTGTTTTTTTAGTATGTGTATTTTGTTAACATATGTACTTGTTTGATTGTTATTTTTCAAAGAAACTTGTAGTATGAATGTATAATTTTGTAGTTGTTATAGTTTGTTTTAGATTTTGTCAAATTATATTTGTTTGTAAATTTTTGAAATTTTGTTTGAATTACACCAAATTAAATGTGTTGTGATGAAATAAATAATTAATAGCTTGTTTAATGGGTTTTTTTTAATTGTTATCAATTCTATTGCGAAGTTGTGATTTCTGTAAATTTATATATGTATAAATTTATATGTATGAACGTTGATAGTTGATAATTGATAATGAATATTTAACATAAGTGTTGTTTTAGTTTGTTGGATAATGTCGGAGAAAACCAATATTTTTGTTATGTTTTATAGAGGTTTAATAGAAGTCATGGATGATTGTTCATGGATGTATCGAGACTCACCCCAAGAATTGCAGATGATGGATTATTGTAACTGTGTCTAGGGTTTTATTAATTTCACAACATTTATTCTGAGAAATTTTACTAATGACAATATTAGGTGTCCATGCAGGAAATGTAAAATTTAAAGTTTCTGCATCAAAATGTTGTAACGATGTATCTTCTAACCAAAGGGTTCATGGAGGATTACTTATGTTGGTATGCATATGGAGAACTATTTGTTCCTGATGAGAGCATGGAAGAACAGGTGGTTGAGTCAACTTCTAGTGCTAGCAACATGTATGAAGTTGGAAATGAGAACAATAATCCTTATAGGAATATGGTTATGGATGCAATGAGAATGAGTAAAGATAATGTTATGGAATGTCCAATTGTAGAAGAAGAAACTAATGTAGATGCAACAAGGTTTTTTGATCTGTTAAAAGATTCTGACGAACCATTATGTGATAGCTGCACGAACCACAATAAATTATCAGCCATAGCACAGGTGTTCACCATCAAGTTAGATCACGGGTTAAGTGAGGCCGGTTATGACAAGATTATTGAATGGACGAGAAGCATTTTACCTAAAGGGAACAGGCTGAAAGAGAACTTCTATGTGATGGTTCATTTTTCTAATGATGAAACCTGAAAATATTTTAATAGTATGTATCCTCACTTTTCAGTTGAATTAAGTAAGTTGAATTAAGTAACGTGTGTCTTGGGTTTTATCACTTCTGTGTACATAGAATTGCAAACCAGATTCATCATATCCAGAGACTTTAGCAGCTAGAAAGTTGAACATATCAGTTTTTCCATACCGGGCCGCACGAAAGAGAGCCGTCTCCCCGTTGTGGTTGCGCATGCCTAACAATCCAGGGGCTTTCTTCAGAAGTTTACCTGCAACAGCTACAGTGTGGTTGCTTGTGGCAGTCTCATGGAGGATTGTGTTTCCTGCACCATTTTGGCGAGTCAACTTGTCGAGATGATGATCAGGCAACTCATCTAGTAATTGTTCTACCAAGGATGCTTCTTTGGCATATGTAGCCATGTGAAATACTGTATCGTCGGTTACTGTTATTACGTGCAATGCATGATCCTGAAGCTTTAGGCAGAGATCTGCAATCCTCTTCGTGTTTCCTTTCATGAGAGCACAGTACAAGTCTCCGTTTATTTTCTGTGTAGGATCGATTTCAGTAGTACGGGAAGACATAAAGGGCTGCATGAAGAAGAGAGTGGTTAATTTTTTCCTTGAAACCAAAAAAATAAAAAACGAAGAAAATTTGCTATTCCAATCCTCAACAACAACCTTCTCTTTTATATCAGAATTCTGCTATCTTGAAGATTACGTAGATATTCCCTATTGGAGTACCTGCAAACGAATGGAGGGCAAAGTATAATAAAAATGTGAAAGCTATCTCCCCTTTTCCAAAGCTGTATACAGAAGCTTTTGATTTCATGACTGCATCTGGATTATTCATCATCTTTACTTGTGGTAGAGTTAGAATCTTGAACTTGTCGTTAAGTTATTGGAGAGTTAAGATCACTAACTAGCTATATAGTTTTCCACCCATCTGACCTTTTTATTTCTTTAATTTCAAAAAATTAAATAATACTTTGTATTGATCTCTTAAAATACACTATTCTTTTCTGGTGAATTCTTGCTGATGAGCTCCCCTTTTGTGGGGATATTTTCGAATTAATCCGTTTTTAGAAGCATATATTATTAATTACTGTGTTTTTTTTATAGCTTAGGAACTTGCTTATTAAGATTAGATTTTGGTCAGATTTGTTTTCTTAGTTCTGTATAAAAATTGTATTGCGTTTGTTAAACCATAATATTGCAGCTTGAAATCGAGATTCACATTCTTGCTTCTAAAATGAACAAGCAAAAAAGAAGAAAGTAAATTATTCGTTGCTTTGCCTTTTCCTTTTGGAATAATCCTACTTTAAAGAAGCTAGCATAGAAAATCAATTGGGTTTCACGTTCATGACAAAATATTGTCCTTGAAATCTATTTCCGACTAGCCATGGGGATATCATTTACTTCTGCTTGGAGTATATATAGAGTGCAATGGAAGTGATCACCAACCAGCTACGCTAGGCTAAAGGGTAGTTCCCCTGCAGTGAAACATGAAGATCAAAAGCGTTATAAATTCAGTCAAGGAACTACATATTTGAACACGGCAGGCCGGGAATAGTATCCCAGTTCTCTTCTATATTTCTAATAAACCAGAATATTATATATTCTTTGTTATCTTATCGATGAAGTCCTAGAAAAAACTTCTCTAGCTCGGGTTGTTCTTGAAACATCAGTATCCTGGTAGGACAGGGGATATTCCGATGATTAATTCAGTAAATATAAGAGAAGAAAGTAATGAACATAAAGAGAAAAATAAAATGAAGTTATAGAGAGTGTATCTGTGTGTGTATCATATGACATGGAATTTGTATGGCCTAGCTTTGTATGATAGTGTCTAGCTCTGGCTTTTTATGATGAGCTAGATTGTATGTGGTCTGGTTGGCTTTCAATGACCGAGTGTGGCTTTGTATGACTCTTTTTTGGTAGCCCCTCCATGTTGCTTGGTGGCTGAGTGTATTTATACACTCAGTTCTTGATTTTTTTTTAAGGAAAATGAGACGTATTATCAGTGGAAATTAAAATTGTTGTTCATTAGTGGTTGTGGAGCTGGTAATTTATTAAGAGCAAACATAGTGTTTATCAATATTATCGAGTGCTTTTCATATATATAATAAAACTCATTGGCTAGTCATGGTGTGTGAGCAAGTCTTGTCTTTGAGGTAAAGACATTGGCAAGACATGCCAGCCGGTGCAGTGTTCAATTGGCGTAGGAAAACGTTATCTTCTCTAGATAGAAAAAGTTGTACATGCACAGAGAAAAATATAATTATATGCATGAAAAATTTGTGTATAATTCTTGAAAACCTAAAAAAATACATAAAAGTATGTGCTGGGGGGGTGTTTTGTACAGGGATTGCATGAGTTCTTCTTGAATTTTTTTTTTAATGTTTCTACATGAGAGAGTAGAGTTTAATTATTTTTGTTATAATCTAATTTTGACCTTTTATTTTTTTATATTTTAATTAATTAAAAAAATTCAAAACATATATCTTTTCAGTAAATTTAATTAATTTTAATCATGTCATTACTTTTGCTGTTTTTATTTAATTTTTGTATGTTAAAAAATAATAAAAATACATAACTGAGATTGAAATTGGAACAATAATTGAGTATTATAGCTAAAATTAAGTTTGAGAATTTTTGGGCTATAATTGAGGGCTTAATTGAAGAAGAAATTGATAAAAGGGCTTAATTTGATTTAATTTGGCTAAGATTAAAAGAAAATGAAATTCAAGGATGAGTTTGAAATGATTGCAAATTTAGAAGATCAATTATGGGTCTAATCGAAGAAGAAAATTGAAATTGGAAGTTAATTTGACTTAAAAATGAAGAATTGAAGAACCAAAACTGAAATGAAAGAGGGAGAAATCATAGGACATATTGTAATTTGATCAAGGGTGAAATTGAAAGAAATTAAGAAGAAAGAGGTGAAATTGACCTGAATTAGAAAAATCCAAAGGCCAAGACTGAAGTACAAATGACGCTAAAACGCAGGGACAAATAAGAAGTTTAATTTGATTTTAATTAGAAAAACCTAATTATAATTGAGGCTGAAAACGACGCTGTTTCACATTAAGCGAAAGTGAAAGTGAAACAATGCGTTTTGATAGATAGAGGGAAGAGCATCTGATGAATATTTGAAGGAAACGACGCCGTTTTGTTCTAAATTCTGCAGAAATTCAGGGCATTAAAAGACATTGGAACAACTGAATCTCATGCAACATTAGAGTTTGATCTTGGTCCTAATTGAGTCTCTTGGTGGCACAAAAACAAAAGAAACGTGTCCTCTACAATCGCAGCTCAAGATATCAGGTTTTAATTCTGAGGATCTACTACAGATTTTGAGTCAAACATACCCTCTCAGTCAGCTTTTCATCAAGAACTATAACCCAGCCTTTCCATTCATATGCAAGATCCATTTTTCAAAATTTGATACTCTCTCCATGAATCAAGCAAAGAGGAATCAATGCCCAATACCTAAGCTGCTTTCCAGGGCTATCTTCAAGGATTTGATACTAACAAAGGCAGTGATTTTTTTTGCCCCTTCTTAAAAGGATTAACACCCGCCTATAAAAGGAACACAAAAAAAGAAAAAAAGGAGGATCACCAGAGGGACAAACAGAGAGGGCAAGAAACCGCAGTAGAAAAGTTGATTCTGTGGGGGCAACGGGAAAGACGACTCTTCATCCCTCTAGAGGCAGATCGTTAATTCTTCTAGACAAAGAGAGGCCCTTTTAGTGCAGATTTTTGGTGAGTTTTCTTCACTTTTCCAAGTTAAAAAGCAAGCGGATTACACAAGTAAAATAAGCTAATTAAAATACACAACAAGCTTTATAGAAATTCTTCCTTAAACTTTATTAATCTGTAAAACAAAAAAAAAACACTATACATAAATCCATATAAATGCTATAAACAAAAATTGCATGCTACACCACCACCTTGGTCTGCAGCAAAACAGTTATGGTCTCTTATGATTATTCAGTTTTCACATGAAGAATATCATTACGTATTCGTCATTCCACGCCTTCTTCGTGTATAAACATGTACGAGTAGAGCTCAAGACCATATATTTGTGAGATCAAGACTTTATTCTATTTTTGCATGTGAAGTTTGGATAGAGTTGCAGGTTGTTCACCATTGAGTATGCATATTCATTTAGGGAATGGAATCCCAGGAAGTTAATCTTTCATGATCACTAGATAAATGAAAAGAACGTACAGAACTGAGAGGTGTAGTTTTTTCTCTTCTTCCCCTGAATGGCTTGGAAAGTGTTTGTCTTTGCTCCCGCCCTAACCAGCACCTGTGCTTTCTCTTCTTCCCCTGAATGGCTTGGAAAGTGTTTGTCTTTGCTCCCGCCCTAACCAGCACCTGTGCTTTCTCTTCTTCCCCTGAATGGCTTGGAAAGTGTTTGTCTTTGCTCCCGCCCTAACCAGCACCTGTGCTTTCTCTTCTTCCCCTGAATGGCTTGGAAAGTGTTTGTCTTTGCTCCCGCCCTAACCAGCACCTGTGCTCCCTTCCAGTAGGAAGCCTAACGAAGTCTTTCCTCTCTTTAACCTGCCAAGTCCCTCACGCTGATTCGTTTCTTTTTCAATAAATAATTGTGGGCCGTTTTGTCTGGACTTCAATGCATGCTGGGCCTAGTTTAAATCTTCAATGTTAATGGGTAATAGGTTCGGCTAAATTTGATAACTTAGGCTATTTGGTTTTGGACTGGATTTTTAGGTTTGGTTTAAGTATATATATACAAAAACAATAACTAGGTTTATCAACATTTAAATTAACCTAAAAAATAAAATAAAATGTATGGAATGAATATTGTACAGATGAAACTATTCACCCCTCACGATACACTTTGGATAACCTTGTTTATTGTTTAAAAAATTTATTTTGATCCTTAAGAATTTGTTTTGGATAATTTGATACCGATGAAAACCAATTAATTTAGATTTCTTAGAAAACAATAAAATTGAAATAATAAAAACCAAGATTAAAAGCACACCAAACGGATTAGTGCACCAAAAGTTTTAAGAAAGACATATTTTGGTTATCTAACTTTAAAAATAATATAAATTATATGATTTCAGTGTTTCAATTTTTTTTAAATTCAATTTTGAAATAAAAATTTATTTTTATTATTTCTTAGTCCTTAGTTGAGAGAAAAGTGAGAAAAATCATTGGATTCCAATGATAAAAAGAGAAAAATATCATTAATATAGATTAAAACTATCAAAATAATCGATTTTTTTTTTATGCATTTAAATTTTGAAGAGTATTTCTAATTCATCTATAATTTTGTTTAACCTGCTGTATAGATGAAATTGATTTTCAAAGATAAAAAAAATTATTTTGAGATAATATTTCTAATATATGAAACCTTGCATAATGTTTTTTTTTCTATTTTATTTTATTCAATCAATTTAATTTGTATCTCTATTTTTATTATTGTTTACTTGAATAAAAAAATTATTTTAATAAATAAATTTAGAAGATACAACTGGTTGAATGTTCAGGCTTGCAAAATTAAATATTTTGATCTATATTTATCTCTCAATTTTTTTATTTTTATTTTTAGTTATTCTTTTTTTCCAATTATTCACACATGTAGTCCTCAATATATTTAATTATTCAGTCCTAGGTGGTTTTTACAGATTCCGCTCATGGAGTTAATGCCTGAACTATCATTACTTTGTAGTGCTATATATTTGAATAGAACTTGTAAACAAACTATTCACTTTGAAATGACTCTTGAAGTTTCAATGAACCAAAATTTAGGTGTTTAGGGTTCATCATTTTGCAAATTGAACTGACAAAGTTTCAAGCAAAATGTTCTGTCCCTCCTGAATAAGAGAAGAGGGGACCAGTGTCAAGAACTCTGGTTAAATTAACACCTATGTTACAAGAATTGCTGGCTTTCTTTGTTACTTATTGCACATATCAGAACATTATATTAATTGGAATCCTTACAATGTACAAACCAATAACTCATCACATCATTCTCATAGACATCATACTTATAATCATCCATGGTGGTAGTTGCTTACAGATAGGACCAATACTTGTGCCAACCTTTACGTACACAGGCAGTCATCAGATTTCAGAAAATGGAAAGGATTTAGTGTAGGATAATTACATGTCGGATATGTTATGGAAAGTGGGTATCAGTGGTTTCGACTCGACAACATTTGAAAGAGTTCCAAGGTATAGCTGGAATATGTTTAATGAAGGGAATTTTCTGGAGCAAGTTGTAAGTCTTTAATAGTGATGGATAAAAAGGGAAATAAGATAGTGCAAAGATGCCAACTGGGATAAAGGAGACTGCATATAGAGTAATTTTTGTCCAGCTTTCCTTGCTGTAAATCATCAGAATGATTGTTGCTCCAAACGCTACCATCATCATTGCCACAGAGAGAAACAGAAATGTGAAGCCTACCAGCAACTTATTAGGAAGTGTATGCTTGAAATCTTTAAATCGAAACGGCGATGTTAGGATAGAGAGGAAAGTAACAACTGATGTCAAAGCAAACGTAAGGGAGAGTACATCAGTCACAGTGAAAACCACAAAGAATGGTTTGTTGACGAGGACAGGAACACCAGTGCTCTGATTCGGACCTCCTGGAACTGTGTAGGCTGCAGCAAAGGCAACGGTGGCAATGAGAACTGCTACCACAGAACATCCTTCTGCTGTTGTCTTTAGCCATTCTTTGGCTAAATTGCGGAGTTCAGAATTTTCAGTAATGAAATACCCTTCTGCAGTGAGCTTCATATTGTTCTGGTGATTCAGGAAATGGGATGGAGTGACTTCTTTGACGCGCTGCGTTCTCACATGGATAACAAAGAGAACATGTCTATCAACTATCAAGTTTTCTTAAAAGAAAATAATTATAGAATTAGACCATTAATTTTTTTTTTTATTTCTTCTTATAAATCATACATAAATTACTTTTTAAGATGAATTATTATGTAAACTCACCCTACCATATTGCTGTAATACGTCTACTCCAACCGCTTCAGGATTCAAGATTAGTATGACAATAAAAAAAATATTGTGCTTGCCTGTGAATTGTGTATGATAGATATGCATATCAGGAAGGTAAAAGTCTAAAAAGTGCACCTCAAACCAGAGTAATTCTTCCTGTAAGAGGAATGCAGGGCCTTCCATCTTCTCATCAGATACAAAGTCCTTTCTTTTCCTTCCGACGGTGTGTAGAATGGAATTCCCATCACTATCAATCTTCCTTGCCAGCCTCCTCATAGGCACGTCCATTCCTTTCACAAGCTCGAAAATCTTCCTTCGGCGGTATTTGATTGCTACATGCAATACATTGCGCCCTTCATCATCAATGTGTTCGACTGCCTGGGGATATAGCTTGAGTATTTCTTCAACAATCTCCACACAGCCTGACTTTGTAGCCAAAATCAGAGGAGTTTCTCCAAGACTCTCTTCTTTGTCAAGAATTTTATTAGACAAATGTACTTCTTGCCGTTCTTTGCCTCCCTTTTCTCCGTACTTGTGGATCTTAGGCTTGCTCTGGTCGATGCTAGAATACGTAAACTCCCAGGAGGTATCTTTTCTGACTAAAAACTTGGCATATAGATTCTGTGATCAGCTCCACAGCTGATCTATGCAGTTGTTTTTGCTTTTGAACCTTTTCTCTCCATACTGAACTTCCATATGATTTTGCTTCCAAGAAAATAAGTTAGTCGCAAATGGTTAGTTGCATATAGATTCTGTGCTGTAATGTAAGAATGAGTTTATTATGGAGAAACAAGGCAAGTTACTTCATGGTTGTTAAAAGGAATGACAGAAAAAGAAGGGAAACTACAATGAAAAAAATCTAAGAATGTTACATTTTTTTTTTATGAGAAGTGCCATAATCACATTTCACTGATTCAGTGAAAACTGGAAGGGTAAGGATCATACTTCCATACCTAAATTAATGAATCCTTCTTCAGGCTCTAGTTTAAAAGCTGATGGGTTGCATGATAAAAGCTGAAGACCAGTCATACCATCGGCATCTTTTTGGCCAATTAAATGCGTATAGTCCAACGCAATTCGGTATGCCAAATCTGTGGCCCAACATAATTTGTATGAAAGCAAACATTTCAGCATCAGAATATCAACTTCACATGTTGAAACAAAATTGACTTGCAGATGGGGGGGAGAAATGAATTTATAATTGACAATGCTTACCAAAATGCAGAGAAAGAATGGCCATGTGTAGGATAGTGGTTTTATCACTTCTGTGTACATAGAATTGCAAACCAGATTCATCATATACAGAGACTTTAGCAGCTAGAAAGTTGAACATATCGGTTTTTCCATACCGGACCACACGAAAGAGAGCCGTCTCCCCATTGTGGTTGCGCATGCCTAACAATCCGGGGGCTCTCTTCAGAAGTTTATCTGCAATAGCAACAGTATGGTTGCTTGTGGCGGTCTCATGGAGGATTGTGTTTCCTACACCATTTTGGCGAGTCAACTTGTCGAGATGATGGCTAGGCAACTCATCTAGTAAATTTTCTACCAGAGATGCTTCTTTGGCATATGTAGCCATGTGAAGTACTGTATCGTCGTTTACTGTTATTACGTGCAATGCATGATCTTGAATTTTTTGGCAGAGTTCCGCAACTCTCTTCTTGTTTCCTTTCATGAGAGCATAGTACAAGTTTCCGTTTATTTTCTGTTTACGATCGATTTCATTGGTATCAGGAGACATCAAGGGTTCCATGTAGAAGGGAGGGGGTAATTTTTTCCTTGAAAAAAAAAAAATCGCTATGCCAATCCTCAATAATAACCTTCTCCTTTATATCAGAATTCTACTATCATGCAACAGGATGCCGTTAATCTTGACGAGTACACTAACAAAGTATAATATTCTAGCTATCTCTCCTATTCTAAAGCTGTATGCAGAGCTTTTGACTTCATGACTGCATTTGAATTATCAATCATCTTTACTTGTGGTAGAGTTAGAATCTTGCACTTTTCCTTGATTTATTATTGCACAGTTATGATCACTAACTAGCTATATAGTTTTGCTTCATCTGCTAATCGGCACTTTATTGAAAATGAACGTTGCTTTATATATGCCTTTAGCTGGTGCTTCTCCATGTTTAGTGGAATGTGGAATGTGGAATAACCTTTGTGTTGATTCATGGAATTAAATTCCTACTTTGTCACTAATTCTGTTTCATTAGTGCAGTGTCATAAACATTCCCATGTTATGCATGCCAGGCTTACAACTACTTATTTGCTATTTTGATTACCAGAATCAAATAGATATTTTTAGTATGAATGTTTCTGTAAATTTTGTTAAGTTAATCTAGAGAGTTAAAGATAAAAAAACGAGAAAGAGAGAACCATTATCTTCTAATATATATATATATATATATATAAAAGAAGTGATTACTTCTTTTAGTAACTACTTTAAATATTTGGATTGGATCTAACCTAAGAACCAATATTAAGCATATGCTAATTAAACACATGTAGTCATGACACAAATTTATTAGCAAGAGAGCCAAATGGTGCAGCAGATGGGCAACAGGTATAGCTGACTAAACATGATGATCAGGCATAAGTTGCTCTCTGGAAATCAAAATTTTAGGCATTAGTCATCTTGTTTTTGTTTGCAAACATAGAAAGAAGAACCAGATGCAGCACCAGGTCAGGATCAATTCAACTTAAAGGAGCGGCATTGATCAACAATATCGCTCTCTGTTGGTTATTTAATTATTGGTGTCGATTTTTTTTTTTTATAATAATCGATTGATTTGTTAATGAAACAACCATTCAGATAATAACGGAGAGAAACACAATGAATTTTAAGAAAACTAAAAAAGAAAAAGATTGGAAACAAATCCAATTACAATATATTAGTAATAAATCTAAGCTTTATTCTTTGCAAGCTTCCTGCTTGTGTTGCTTCCATCTACGTTTACCTGGATCACCAACAAGGATAGTCTTCACTCATCATAAATTGGTTTAATATGATTATTGAAATCCTCACAATTATCAACAACTCAATAACTTGCTGCACAATGTTAACAATAATACATATTATCTTCCATGTATGGTATTTCATGGAATGTGGGACTCTGAGGTTTGGACTTGACAACATTTTAAACATTTGGACATCATCATACAAGGTTTGGATAGAACAAGTTTAGTTAGAGGAAAGTTTTCGAGCAAATAGTTGTGAGTTTTTGATAGTGAGGAATATAGAGGAAAATAAGATAGCGCGAAGATGCAAACTGGGATAAAAGATACTGTGTATAGAGTAACTTTAGCCCAATTTTCCTTATTGTATATCGTCAGAAAGATTGTTGATCCAAATGCTACCATCATCATAGCCACGGAAAGGAACAGAAATGTGAAGCCTGCCATCAACTTATTGGGAAGGGTATGCTTGAAATCTTTAAATCGAAATGGCGATGAGAGGATGGAGAGAAATGTCACAACTGATGTCAAAGCAAAGGTAAGAGATAGGACGTCCGAGACAGTGAAAACCACAAAGAACGGTTTATTAACGAGGACAGGAACACCGGTGCTCTGATTTGGACCTCCTGGAACTGTGTAGGCTGCTGCAAAGGCGACTGTAGCAATCAGAACAGCCACAACCGAAGATCCTTCTGCAGTGCTCTTCATCCATTCTTTCGCTGAGCTACGAAGTTCAGAGTTTGTAGTAATAAACAAACCCTCTGCAGAGAGGTTCTGACTGTTATGGTGGCTTACGAAATGAGGTGGAGTGACTTTTTCGACTCGCTGTATTCTCGCACGCAATAAAAAACTGACATGTCAATCACTGAAGTTTTCCAAAGAAAATAAGCATTAGACCATTAATATTTTTAGTTCTTTCTTCTTTTCTACCGTATGTGGAAATGCAATGCAAATTCCTCAAGTTTTGTTCCAATTGCTTAAAGATTCAAGATTAGTGCAGCATTCTAAAAAATATGCCTGTATGTGAATCATATGTTGATGCTAAAAGTCTAAAAAGGCACCTCAAACCATAGCAACTCTTCTTGTAATAGGAATGCAGGGCCTTCCATCTTCTCAGATACAAAATCCTTTCTCTTTATACCAACAGTGTGCAGAATAGAATTCCCCTCGTTATCAATCTTTCTTACCAGTCTCTTCATGGGCACTTCCATTTTCGTCACAAGCTCGAAAATCTTTAACTGTCTGTATTTGATTGCCACATGCAACACATTGCGACCTTCGTCGTCAACATGTTCAACTGCTTGAGGGTAAAGCCTGAGTATTTCTTACACTATCTCCAAAATGCCTGACTTGGTAGCCAAAATCAAAGGAGTTTCACCAACATCATCCATTCTCTCAGGAATTCTAGCAGCCAAAGACATCCCTTCTTGCCCACCGATCTCTCCATATCTGTGTATTTTGGGCTTGCTCTGGTCAATGCTAGAATAAGTAACTTCCCATGAGGTATCATTTCTAGATAAAAGCTTGGCAAGCTCTACAGCTGATTTATATTTATCCTTTCGATTTTGAACCTTCTCCTGCCAAGCTGTACTGCAACAGGATTTAGCTATCCAAGGAATAAAGCAAGTCAGCAACATACATAACTAACTTTAGGCTCTGGAACACAACATAAATAAAAATTATCTATAAGGATGAATTGTTTTGCAGAAAGATGGAAAATACATGACTGTAAGAAGATTAACCTATGTACAAGAATCTTATTATTTCAAGTACGAAAAATTCAGAGAAAAAGAAGGAAATTTGCAACACATTATTTCTATATGAAGATAAAGGAAGGATTGTTCAAGACTTCAAGTGTCATAATCTTGACAAGAAAGAAGTGCACTATAGTATTAGCTGTTCTGAATGTGATTAGAAAAATGGAAGTGATCTTGTATACACACCTAACTTAATGAATCCGTCTTCAGGCTCTTGTTTAAAAGCTGACAGGTTGCATGAAAGAAGTTGAAGACTCGTCATCCCATCACCGTCTTTTTCGCTGATTAAATGTCTGTAGGCCAATGCAATTTGGCATGCCAAATCTGTTTTTTTCATTAAAATTGTACCAGAGAGAAAAGTTTTTGTTTTAGTGCAGCAAAATAAAAACTTCAGCATGACTCAGAATTGAGATTTTACTTAATTCCACCAAACATAACATACAGAAGTGCCCAAGAAATGAACTTGTGGTTTATAATGCTTACCGAAGTGCTCAGAAAGAATTGCAATGTGAAGGATAGTGGTTTTATCACTTCTCTGAACATAAAATAGCAGACCTTCTTCGTCATATCCAGAGACTTTAGCAGCTAGAAAGTTGAACATATCAGTTTTTCCGTACCGAGCTGCACGAAACAGAGCCGTCTCTCCATTGTGGTTGCGCATACCTAAACAGTCCGGGGGCTTTCTTTAGCAGTTTATCTGCAACAGCAATTGCATGGTTGCTAGTGGCAGTCTCATGGAGAATTGTGTTTCCCACTCGATTTTGTCGGGTCAACTTGTCGACATGATGATCAGGCAACTCATCTAGTAATCTTTCCACCAAGGCTGCTTCTTTAGCATACGTAGCCATGTGGAGAACAGTATCATCATTCACTGTTATTACGTGCAATGCATGATCTGAAATTCGTTGGCAGAGATCTACAACATCCTTCCTGTTGCATGTCACTAGAGCCTTATACAGACGTCCATTGATTTTCTGTTTGGTATCAAGAACATCAGCATGGCAGGAACCCATCAGTGGCTGAAACATCCTGAATAGGGAGGTGGCTTCTCTCTTTTTTTGGCGTTATTATCCTTTGATTCTTTTGATTTTGAAGATAGTAATATTGTTGTTCTAGCTCTCAATAATGAATAGCTGTGCCCATTTTATGTCAAAATCCCGCTTTTTCTACACCTAATCTTGTCCATATTGGCCAAGACACAAAGTACCTAGCTTTTTATTACAATAAATGTAAATGCTGGGTCATACTTTTCAAAGAGTAATTGTCTTTGTGAAACATCACTTTGATGACAGAAACCTGCTTTATCCCTTAATCGAATACTTTTCTTTTCTTTTTCTCATTAGTGATATCCCATCCAAAAGCAGCAAGTTTTGCACGTCATGCTTTACAGCTAATTAGGAATAATCTTTAGCCATAGTACAAATTTTTTCTTTAATTTCATTACTGCAATGGCGCGTTCCACGCTTAGCTTTACATCTTGATTTAACTAAATTCTATACTATATGCAACCCTTTTGTTCTTCAGAATAGGGCCAGCACGTCTCAGGCTTTATAGCACAGAGCTGTGGTACCACGGAGATATATGCATGCTCAAACGCAGAAAAATTCAACACCATTAGTAGTAACTGTTGAGCAGAAGTAAAAAGGTTATTGTCTTGATAATACGTGTACGGTTTGAATTTCATTCCGCCTTTGATGGATTCTTTGCCCTTTTAAAAAAATTAGGAATAAGGAACGTATACAACATATCTTCTAAAGGTAAAACTCAAAAACTAAAGCACTTACACAGCATGGTATTAATGGAAATCGAAACATGTACCAGTCAATAATAACTTGCAAAATATTTAACCTTTTATTTTATTAATCATAGGTAGTTGTATAGTTGGCAATCCGTAATGATTGCTTTCCTAGTGTTTTGAGAAGTTTGCGCACACATTTCTTGCTCTTCTTCTTTTTCATTTTGGTCTTCCTCTGCTGTGGTGACTCGTTTAAAAGAATTATCTTCCTTTATTAGGCTTTCGGCGAATTCCAAAGCAAATACATGCTTTCTTTTCCGGTTCCAGATTCTTTCTAGCCAACATCATGGGTGAGAGCTAGATATTATTATGAAATGGAAAGAAATATCAATAATGATAGTAAAAGGTGAAAACTAAATTTAGTGGAAGCACAAGGATTATTTGCGTAAGCATCTAAAAATAGGATGTGAACAAAAACCTCTTTGTAAAATTTGTTTCAAGCATAAGGTTTGTGTTTGTAAATAAATTATCTCAAAGTAAATGTTTAAATTATTATCTTAAAAAGTAAATTTATATTAATTCACTAATACTCCTTTTTAAGTGACAATGAGATGTAAGCTCAATTGGTGTCAAAAATTGGCAAGAACTACTCTGCTTGTGTAGCCCATGTCCACTAAAAAAAGAAACTGCGACTCAATTACATAAGAACTAATATTGGCTACAGGATTCAAATATCGGGTCAAGCCATGGAATTTAAATTCTTATGATTCCTTAATGCTGACATGAATGAAATGTGTTTCATTGCATTGGAGAACTTGATCTAATCTCATATATAAAGGTAGCTCAATAATACCTTCAGGGACCTTTAAATATTTGAGTATGCCGCCTCTTTGATTCCTCTTCGAGACACTCCCCGGATCTCCTGAGTTCCTCCCCCGACCGCTCTCAAGATCTTTCTTATTTTCCAGGCACCAAGTTTGTACCTGTGATTTTACCTCGTGGTGACGTTTAACAGGAAGGCCTGCAACATAATTTAGAGTTCAAATTATATACATATATATGTATGTGTATGTCCATGGTATTCAAACAAGAATATGTAGGCAATATTGTAAGGTCTAATAATGTGGTTGGAGTAGGCATACAACAGTAGATGAGTCTTTCAAATATGCCCACGGGAAATTCACTCTCAAAAGCAGCTGGCATTTCTGCTAGAAGTTGAAGAGTAGATATTTGATTTTTGTCCTTCAAGCTGGCGAGCGATTTACCCAGTTCTAGCAACAATAAAGCTGTTTCTGCATTCATGAAATTAGGAAGACAAAAATTATACAGTATCTTATATATGTATACTTTTTAAATTTGAGAACTCAATAAAGCGAGGAATGGTTACCAAATTTTTGCCCTATGATAGCAGCGCTAAGGATGAACAGGTCATCTTCCGTTCGCTTGCTGTGAGGTGGTAATAGGCGGCCATTAGCATCCACGCATTGTTCTGGTTTGTGTCCGATTAAAAACTCTACCATTTCTGTCTCAGAAAATCCGGCAGCTGTAAACATGGGGTTTCCGAACTCATTTGGAATCGAAAGCAGCTCCGGACAACGTTCTACCAAGAGTCTTACAGCCTTGTAATTGCCATAGATGGTTGCCTCGTGAAGGGCCGTATTTCCAAATTCGTTTGTTTTCTGTTGAAGTAAACTTAATCTAGAAGGTCAAGGAAAGCAACCACCAGCTGTCATTGCCCAACCGTCCAGCCGCTAGCTACCAGCTTCCGACTATTTTTATACCGTCGGCCACAACTACCTTCACACTTGAAGTTTGAATTTTTTTATTTTGAATTTGTGTATAAATAGATAGTTAAGCTTATGCAATTATATGTGGAGAGATTGAGAGAAACAGAGAGAGAGAGAGAAAAAGAGAGGGTGTGTATTGTAAGCTTTCGTTTATGTTGTAAGCTTATTGTTCTTGAAATAAAACAGTGTGTTTTATCCCCTCTGAGTTTTCAAAACCACCACTAGTGGTTTCTCCCACCAACAATTGGTATCAAAACCCCGTTCGTCAGAAAAACAGAGGTATTTTTGTATATACCTGAATTTTCAAAGTTGTCAAAAACAAGTTTTGATCATTCCAAAATGTAGAGCTCATCCATACGAACTCAATGGTGCAAAACTCATATTAATCAGAGCACGGGGTGGCCCACACTCTCCGTCTGAAATTTTGGTACTGTAGCCCACGCGCCTCGAGGAAGAAGACGACTGAGCCACACGCGCGCCATATTTGAGCTGCGCTAAGCCACCTAAGCCGAGCCGACTTCAAGCCGAGCCACGAGTCGAGCCGAGCTCCAAGTCATATTTCAAAGTTGAGCCACGCCAAAGAATATTCCCTGGAATATTCCCGGTTCAGCCGCAGCGAACCACCCGACACCTAAAATTAGTTTTTTGACTGGTTCACCCCATTTTTGACCCATTTTCTATAAAGTCAGACCGGTTCCCTGCTATTTGGACCATTCTGGATCCATCTACGGTGTCGGTTTTGCCAAATTCAACTCCCAAAAGGTGATATAGTCATTTAAAGAGCAAAATGACTACAAAAAATGCACAAACACTCATCCTGAAGCTGACCAAAGACAACTATGATAGGTGGTGCATCAGATTAAAGGCATTCCTTGGTTCACAAGAGTGTACAGATATTATGCAATATGGTTATGATAAACCAGAGTTCAAAGAATCAGAAGATGCTCTACCAGAGGCAGAGAAGCAAGTCCTCAAAGCCAATAGAAAGAAAAACAACAAAGCAAAGACCATTATTTATCAAGGTCTTCATGAAGTGACATTTGAAATCATTGCTTCCGTAGAAACATCAAAAGAAATATGGGAGGCTCTCCAATAAAAATACAAAGGTGCTGACAGAATAAAGAAGATTTGTCTCCAATCTTTGCGAGGTGAATTTGAATTGTTACAAATGAAGTCCTTAGAATCCATTTCTGATTATCACACAAGAATTATGGTGATAGTCAATCAGATGAGAAAAAATGGAGAAGCCCTTTCAGATGCTTGAATTACTGAGAAAATTTTGAGATCCCTAGATCCAAAATTTGATTTTGTTGTTGTCGCTATTGAAGAGTCCAAAGAGGTGGACAAGTTAACAGTGGATGAACTTATGAGTTCTTTGCAAGCTCATGAGTAGAAGATTGTAAAAAGAAATGGAGTAAGGCAATTGAGCATACCTTACAAGTGAAGTTGTCTCTCAAAGACAGATTTAAGCAAGGGGAGACTTCAACAAGTGGAAATACCACTCGAGGAAGAAGTCAACAAACACGAGGAGGATTTCAACTATTTCAAGGCAGAAGTTCTTGGAATATAGGTTTTAGAGGAAGAGGTGGTAGAAACACCACTAAAAGAGGTCGGGGACAACAAGCATTCACTCCTAGAGGAAGAGAAGGCGGTTACAATAACCATGACAAGAGGAATATTCAGTGTTATAATTGCAATCAATTTGGGCATTATAACATTGAATGTCAAGGAAAGCTCCATTAGAGGTACATGAGCATGCCAACTATACAGAGGAGGATGCCAACAGCAGAGGAGCAGCTACATTATTTGCCCAACAAGGACTTGGCAAGAATCAACAGATTCTGGAGCCAGTAATTACATATGTGGCCAATGATATTTATTTGGTTATTTAGATGAGACCATACAAGGTTTTGTCACCTTTGGAGATACCTCAAAAGTTCCATTCAAAGGTAAAGGCAACATCCCAATCAAATTGAATAATGGTGATCATAGCTACATTACCGATGTCTACTATGTCCTAGCCATAAAGCAGAACTTGGTGAGCATAAGTCAACTTCTGGAGAGAGGCTATACACTTTACATGAAGAATCGTCATTTGACAATTACATACTACAATGGGAGATTAATTGCCTATGTGAAAATGCCCAAGAATAGGATGTTTGATTTAAACATCCAATATAATGCAGCAAAGAGTTTAAGTGCCATCACCAACAGTGAAGAATGGCTTTGGCACCTGAGGCTTGGACATCTGAATTTCATAAGTCTGAAGATGCTAGCAAGTAAGAAGATGGTCAAAGGTATGCCCCATATTAATCATCCAGATGAAGTCTGTGAGAGTTGTGTCCTCAATAAATATCACAGATCCAGTTTTGCTAAAGAAGTCAACTAGAAAGCAAAGAAGCTACTAGAGTTAGTATACGCAGATATGTGTGGTCCCATAAAGCCTATGTCAACTGGACAAAATAGGTACTTCCTCACTTTCATTGATGATTTTAGTAGAAAGACATGGGTATACTTTCTAAAGAGGAAGTCAGAGGTATTTAATTGTTTTAAAGATTTTAAAGCAATTGTTGAGAAGTAAAGTAGCTATAAGATCAGAACCGTGAGATCTGATCAAGGTGGAGAATATACCTAATGATTTTGAAACCTTTTGTACACAATAAGGCATCAGACATCATACAACACTAGCCTATACACCACAGTTGAATGGTGTAGCTGAGAGGAAGAATCAAATGATTCTTGACATGGCAAGAAGTCAACTC